GCCCCCTGCCCGACTCGCCTCCCTGCCCGACTCGCCCTCTGACCGACTCGCCCCCTAACCGACTCGCCCCCTGACCGACTTGCCCCCTGACTGACTCGCCCCCTGGCCGATTCGCCCTCTGACTCCTTCGCCCTCTGACTCCCTCGCCCTCTGACTCACTCGCCCCCTAGGAACGTCAGGCAAGTGTGGCCGGCCCAATGTGTAAAAAAAACCCGAATGGTTCTAACCAACGACTTGACAAAAACGACTCACGGACGTAGAAGGATATTTGGACATCACCACTAATCACTTATTTATTCAAACGCTTCCTACGTCCACTGTCTGATTAGGTTATTTGTACATCCAAAATGTCCTCAGGATCAACAACTTCAAACCCTCCATCCCATTAATATTTGGGTATGTGACTGAGGTCCGCAGAAGGGACGCAGCTGGGCAGATCATGGCAGATAGAAACAGTGGCGTATCTACGGGGGGGGGGCCCAAGGGGGGACAGGATGAGGAAATGATGGCTCTTTCACATTCAGAGACGCCCTCTCTTATAGGTTGATGTGGGAATAAACTTGGGTACTTTTGGGACAAAAGTAACTGTTTATTGGGAGGTTTATTTTTGTCTGATTAATTTCCACATAGAGACTAAAATGGAGCCTCGAGAGGGTAGAAATAACGGGGAGGAACTGACTTGTGTAAAATGGCGCCATGGTCACCCAAGCAGTGGGTTGGGTAACGAGATTTTACCTGATACTAGCGAGAATGCATTTGCGTCCCTTCAGGACTCATCAGTCGCACGATTCCTGAGGAATCCAGGTCTGTTTTTAGTGAGTGAGTGGCACTCACAAGATGGGAAATTTGGGTAGCTGTCTGTATGGGACATGATATGAGTAACATTTTAGTTGGATGGGTTTTGTTCATCCAATAGGGAAACTAGGATATTGAGGGTGTCATTGCGTTCTTCAGGTGTAGAGGACTGATCGTTCGCTGCATGGATGAGTTTGGCTCTGACAAGTTTTTCCGGATGTTGTTGGCTTTTTTGTATAAAGCAACCAGTAGAGGTTTAGGGGGTTGAGTAGTGGGTTGCTTGAGATAAGGTGCCAATCTTCCTGAAGAGCATTTCTGATGTCTTTGTGTTTCACTCGTGGATTGTGTGTGGTGGTGAAGACGAGGGGGAGTTCTTTCTTTGCCGTCACTTTTTGTTCTGTGTGAATTAAAGATTTCCGTTGTTGGAAATCAATAGATTGCATCGACTTCTGAAATTTGGCTTGGGTATAGCTTCGAGTTAAAAGTTTTTCTTTGAAACTTTGTACCTTTTGTAGAAAGTCATCCTCATTGTTTGTATTTCTGGCAAATCTCAGGATTTCACCTTTGATAAAACTGTGGAATACGTGTTGTGGATGGGATGAAGTCCTTTCTAAAAGTATTGGAATGTTTCCGTTGGTTTTGTGAATACTTTAGTATCCAGGGTACCAGTTTCGCGGAAGCGCGGACCTTTGAATATGGTAAGGTGCAGGTAGGTGATGGAAGTTTCAGATGCCTCAAAAGTGAATTTGAGGGTGGGATGCAATTGGTTCAGATGGTGAACAAATTGGGTGAAGGAATCAAGATTTGTTTGTCTATGTGTTTGCTTTTCAGCATGTTGGTTAAGACCTTGTGAACTTTGAGGGAGGTTTCATGGCTTAAATCCTTGTCTACTCTTTTGTAGTGGTGGGAGTCAAGATGTTTGAAACCGACTTTTATGTAGTCCTCTCGGTTCGTGATGCAAATGCCACGGCCTTTGTCATAGGGTTTGATGACAACAGATGGGTTTTCTTTGAGTTTGGGAATAGCTGCCAATTTGGCTTTGGACATGTTGGTTCGAGTGTTTCTCATACGGATGTGAGCTAGTTTCATCTTGGTGGCTTCCAAATAGTTCTCAAGAGTTGAGTTTTGAGTGAATTTGGGGTGCCATGTAGATGAAGGTTTGAAAGGCTGGTCTTTCAGAACTTTGTTATGCATCAGCAATGCAATTCTCATTTGTCTTTGATATTTATTAATATCATGGAGAAGAGAGAGACGGTTGGGTTTAGCTGGGGTGGGAACAAAATTTAAACCTTTTTTTTTTTATACACACAATAATACTAAATTAGTTTTACCAATATTAAAAAAAATATTTTTTCCCCAAATTCCACAGAAAGTGAACATCCACCAAGCTTTAAACATTTTAACTTTCATAACTCTCAACTTTGAGTGCCCGCTGCAGATCCCAGAACCTATTTTTACGGGCAGCAATCACCAATTCCATTTCTGTTTTTTTTTTATTTAATGGTGAATGGGCCAGCCGTATGTGCTTGGCAAACTTAGGGGGGGCAAGTTGGCCAGGGGGCAGGTTGGCCAGGGGACGAGTCGGTCATGGGGCGAGTTGGTAAGGGGCGAGTCGGCCAGGGGCGAGTTGACCTACAATCTTCTGTAGAAACTTCATTGCACAGAATTGCTTGATATCAATAGAGGGCTCACATCATTGGGAGTGAGCATCTCATAGTGGGAAAAAATCACATTGCCAGATTGTTCCATTGCATTAACAAGCAGAGCAGTAAATCATCATGCCTTTTACAATCATGCTTTTTACAATCAAATCTGATAACCCCCATGTTTAAGAGCACGAGATGCTGTGATCATTCAAAATTTCTTTCTTCAACTTGCGTTGATCTTAATGGCTAGATGTATTAGTATCTCATTGTTACTGATGTACCAGGGGCAGACCTATGAAATGAATGTAGACCTTTTGGGAATTAAACATTGGGGCGCCTGTCATTGTGTATTGTTCCTATTGAAGAACCTTGCAGTACTTTACCTTGCAGTCATGCAGTGCTTTAGAGTATTGCTGCTCTCATGGAATTTTCCATTAATCACTTGCAACGGAGCGAAGATGATGCAGAAGCTGATCAATGCCTAGTTTCAGTTGCCTTTGGATGATGTTTTTATGTATTGTAGCGAGGATAAAGACAGTGGACTTGACTTTCAACACAAAGTAAATGTATATTTCTACTGTCCAAACCACTAACGCAACACTTCAGATTATCTACATTTCAAAGAGGAGTTCATGTGGGCTGTACAAGTAATCAGTTTAAATGGAATTAGGAAAGTGCTCTTTGAGTGAGTGTGCTGTCGCGTTGAGAGTAATGGACACTCTCAAAAGATTCTAACATTTTGGAAACTCTTATTATTGACCGATTTCCTCTTGGTCTGGACAGATTGAGGAAATAGAACGATACCTTGACAGGAGACAGGAGCTGTGTAACAGCAAGGAAGAGGATCTTAGACTACTAGACGATGTGAGTAGATTGGCAAAATTACATGCAGAGGTGCAGTAAAAAAAAAAATCATGTTTAAGGTTCATGCCTGCTCCTCTTTGGAGGCCACTTGGATTCAGTTTTAATTTGACTCCAGGGAAAATGAGATGCAAAGAGTTAAAATGTTGTCCGGTCCACCAGAAATAATAAAATACTCGTGAATTTGAAAAGAGGTGTGTTTGTTTTGGAATTCTGATGAAACCATGCTATAAACTTAATCGACCTCACAAACCACTTCCAGTATCTTCAGTTCTCTTGTTCAAAATGTCTCTCAGTCGCATTTTTGAACAGTGAAAACGCTAATATTTGCTGTCAATTTCCAAAGAAATGGCTGCCGTCTTAAAAAAAAACAAGCCCCACTTCCTCCATTTTTCCAAAAACCCTGATGCTGATGCTTTTTTTATTTACCGTGGCCTAAGCAAGAAATAGACTAATCTCGGGTGATTCTATTCTGTGGCGGCACCACACTAATGCACACATTTCTGAAACTTGAGGCACACGTGCATTTAGGGTAGTTGCAACTCCCTGCTAGTGAGAGGCATTAATTCACATGTACAGCCTTAATGAAAAGCAACCGTGGTACATGTATAGTACACAGTAGTCATTTGCAAGAGTTCAACACCACCTGGAAGTTTATTGGTATTTCTGTGACTGGGCCTGCATTACATTGTCTCATTGAATGATTACATAAACATGTTTTTACAGTGGTGCATAACATCGATTTAGTACTACATATCCATTTGAATGAAATTTTTTGCGAAGGCAGGTCTTGTACATGTATGACTTTCTGTCTGTAAGGCAGCATGGGTAAAAAAAGCCAGTCTAAGTAATCAGAACTAAAGGAGGGCACACTAAATATTAGACTGTTAGCATTTCAAATCATGGAAATAGTCAAATAGCTGTTTAATCAAGATACTAAGGTTACACATTGAAAAGAAACATAAGTTGCCATGATTGGTTGGTTTAAGTTTGGTTTTTCTTCAGGTTAAAGCATTTTGTATGGGTGGTCCTAAACTTTTGCAAATGACTGTAATGATTTCTAATACCAGCTGTTGGGCAGAAGCATCCCTCTCATTGGTTGAAAAGAGCCATGTAGGTGGGCAGTGTTCAACAGGTTGCATCCAAATCTGTTGCCTAGAGCGAGATCAAGGTCTTCACTCCATTGGAAATATGCATGCTGACATTGTAATAGACAGACATCCCCAGAGAAGCTTGTTTTGGACACTGCTTCATAATAACCAGTCCTCACGCCAGTCTGTGCTCATGCTCTGGTGTTACATGTACGTAAAATCATATTGAAATCAGAGGATTTGGGACTGTTAGGGCCATATAAAGGAGAACTGCATGTACATGTACATTCATTGACCAGCAAAAGGTGCCTCTGTTACTTGGAAAATTGCGCCCTCTCTTGGTCCCACTCTGGACAGATACATGTACATGTATAATATGTACCACACAATATATTTACTATAGTAAATGTATATTGGGATGAGGTTTCCACTGGGTGCAACTTTCTTTTGATGTGCTAAATTCCCTGATTGCACTGCTCTGGGCTGTTGTCAGTTGGGGTGTAATATTAGAAATGTTCAGTCATCCAGTAACTCACTCCTTTGTCCCACTCTCGATCTGTTTCCTTAACAAGTAATCCCAACCAGTACAGTGTTGTGATGGTAATTTTAACTCCACGATGGTCACACACTCTAATGCATGTATGTGAAGTTCTTAAATGCTATCAATCCTCTTTTCAAACTTTAATTAACAGAAACTTGAAAAACTTTTTTATTGAAGTATATAATGGGTAAACGCTCGGTCATTGTCCCAAATTAATTCTATAAAGCATTTGAATATGAATAGAACGCCTAAATAATGTGATGTTATATTATTGTTGATCTGTTATGAATGTGTATGTAAAGCGAACAAGAAAAATTTCCAAGTTTTTCAGTACAATTAAGAATATAATTAAATTGAATGTGTTTTTAATTTGGTTTCAGCAACTTGATACACTTCATCAGGAACTGGAGTGGGACAAAGAGCGGCTAGAGAGGGCAGGCTTTGACGTGAACAATTTGGGACCAAGGTGAGCTCGATAAACGCTGAAAACTTCTGTAATAAGCACAAAGTCTTCTGTGTTGAATTGTTCTTTAAATGTTAATCTTAATCTTGTCAAGAAAAATTGCTGTTATAGCGAATTATTACTTATGTTTTGGTTGGTACAGTTAGTCAATCTTGTTGCATGTTTTGTCCATAAATCCACCCCAATCACCTTTCCTTTCTTATTTATGGTTGTGGAAGATTGCTTCAAAAAAGGGAAGATAAGGGGGAGATATTATACAGAATCAACGAATCACGAAGAGCGATTGGGTAATCGTGCAGATTGGCTGATCATGTCCAACCAAAATACTCTTAACGTGGAAGACGGAGAATACTTTTTAACATACTGTGTTATGTGCAGTATTTACACATTCACCTTGATTTTGCCCCTTGGCTTTTCCCTAGGAAACCCTCCTGAATCCTTCAAAATCCATCACTTTAAAAGAACCAGCTGGTTGACTTAATCCGTGTGTAAAAAGAAATTGTGGCTGAGCTGTCTTCCTAAATGCTGTAAAATCATGCCCACTGCCCTGATGGATTTTGAAGGATCTTGGATGGTCATGGTTCATCAATCAAACCTGTGGGTAATAACAAGGGAGGGGGATCGTAAAATCTTAGACATTTCTGGGGAGTACGTAATTGTTATGCAGTCAAACCCAAGCCTGATAAGAGCTCTAACAAGGAGCAAGGAATTCAAATACCAGGTTCCAAGTCTTGGTACCAGTATAAACATTGTTTGTTTATTTTCTATTCTTGACGACAGAGGGTCCCAAGGACCTGTTTTTACCCCCTTCTCGATGGGAATTTCTTTCCGAAAGCCGACTCCAAGAATTCCAGCCTCGCTTGAACACAAAGGCCACCTGCCAAACCGCCAATTCTCGGTTTGTGGCCCAGCGTGCTCTGCACGCTTTGAATTACATGGTGAAAAGGCTGATTGTTCGTTGGCATGCGGCTCTACTCACGCTTCCACATTCCCGTTGCCTCTTTTCAAAGTGGGGACTATTGTGAAGCTGGTGATTATGATGCAGATTCGGTCTTTTCATTTCTGGGCTACACACAAGGATCAATTACCATATATGCAAGAGCCAGGGTCTGCCTTCTTTCACCGTGTTTGCTCGAGCATGGGCTGAGAATAATAGCTGAAAAGCGGGCTGAGGATCTCAATTTTTACGGCGTGTCTTAACGCGTCCCGGCATCAAGGGGTCAAAGAGTTTTGATTGAAAGCTTTTGAGAAGTAGTGACCATCTCCCAATCCATATTGGCAGCGGAGTTGGAGGCCCGTAGGTCACAGTTTTTAAGTAAACTTGTTCAACTCCTGGCAAGTGCCGTTGGTTAATTATTTGTATTGTGTATTGCATTGTCTTTGTGTTATGCCAAATAAATACATAATGATTATAATTATCTCTACCTAAATTCCATCTTAAATGGTATGTTTCAGGAACCGAGCGTCTGGCTTCAGGAGTCAGGCGAAGGGCACAGACAGCGACGCCGACGACTACATCCTGAAGGCCAACCTACGCAAATGCCAGAGTGACCTCAAGACAGCTGAGCAGACCTTGCAGGAACGTGACCTGCAGCTAGCCCGGGCCAAGGAAGAGGTACATGAAATAATACTGGTTTTTTGAATTGGCACCCTGCTTGTGAGGGCATGGTACAAAGCAAGCACCCACTTAGTGTCAGCACTTTGCCATCTAATCAAAGTGAATGTGAGAACAAATTTTACCTTTTCAAGGCATTCACAGTGAATGTATTTGGCTTTCTGTTGTGCCAAGTATGACCTAGCCTTAGCTGTGTGAGCTTTAAAGGGGGCTTGCTTATCACTGGTTATTGAATAAAGTTCCTCAATCAATATGGATATACGTCTCGTTCAAAGATGTTTCCCCGAGTGTCTGAAAGATTTAGTTAGAGGGGAGGGTACCAAAGCACCAGTTTGCAGGCTAGTTTTATGCAGCAATTGTCAATGAAATTTCTGTGACTGCTTTTTCCCACCAGATTTTGTCACTGCAGACAGACAAGAAGAAAGACAAGGAGAAGATCAAACAGTTGGAGACGCAGCTGTCTGTGGCACTCAGCCAACTAAAGAACCAATCCAATTTGGGACAGGCATCGTTGGCATCTAGCGCGACGCTCAACCGACAGTCGTCCATACGCTCCCACGTATCCCTGGACCGCTTCAAATCACCGACGGACCTAAGCATCAACCAGCAGGCCCAGCTCAATCGGTCGATGTCGGGGAAAGAGAAAAGTGGCGGCGGCGGCAAGTCCCCGGCTGGCAAGAAGTATCCGAGCTCCACTGCAGACACATCTCCGGCCAATACCGCATCCAGTGGCGGCGGCAGCAGGAGGCGTAGGCATTCGTCCGTTGATGGGGCTGCCAGGGAGGGCGATGCCACACTTGACCTCCTGGGAAGGCCCAGAAGTTGGACTGCAGACTCGGCCAAGTCTCAGCCTCGGACAATCAGTTCAGCATGCGCCATCATGTGAATTGCCGTTAGTCGGTGGGAAGCATCCTGAAGCGTTGGACCATGCACATCGGGAATGCAAGTGCAAATTTCTGATGTCATTTTAGTCATTAAGACATCAATATGTTGTACTTACGAGTACATGTATTTCTGAACCCAAAGTCTGGAGCCCTTCATCGACTATTCAAAGGAAAAGTCGTCTTGTTTCTACTACATGTTTTACTGGGCCGTAACTTTACAAACACGCATAGTAAAGACAAGGTACACTACACAATGTAAAGAGTTCTATGCATGGTTTAACTACAGTTAAAGAGATCTCTCTCCAAGCATGGTTCACTGCATTTACACCAATGTAAATATCAAATATTTATTAGTGCCATGCAGTATCATTTTCTGAGTAAAACAAATCATACCTTGTAAATGATGAATGGAGGTGCCTCTAAAATGCCAAAGCACAAGCCAGTTTCTTGGGGAGCCAAACGCAGCTTGCATGATGCATTCTCAAGGAAGGGAGGTCTTTGTTGTCCCTCTGGGGCTTACAAAATAAGACCCATTGCATCTCCATTGTTGCCGAGTTCAAGCAAGAATAGTGTGCCTCTAATGAGGATGTGCCTAGCAAACCTCTCTTCTGTCAAATTCTGCTGTCCATTCCTTGAGCAATACGGGTGTTTCACAATAGTTCACCTCCAAGAGTTTGCGACGCGTTGACCAATCACAGAGCCCGTCGATCCAATGCGTGTTTGAAAAGGGTCAACAGATTTTGCGCGTTGTGATTGGCCGACGCATTGCAGACTCTTGGAGGCGCACTATTGTGAATTGCCCGTATTTTAACCGTGAAGATAAATTCTTGTTTGAAAGACAAAACTGACTTAAGCTGTGACCTCCCGAGTAATGGTAGTTGCAGGATGAAATCCCTGTCTGTACTGGCCTATTATCGTGGGTACTTTTGATCAGTCCCTTGTTTTGATGACATTACATGTAGTTAGAAAGTCATGGAACTAACTTGCTCCAAAGGGATATTCAGAAACAAAACCCAAAACAGCAATGGCATTAAGCAAAATGCTACAGAAGCTACTTGTTAATATTAAAAAGATTACTATTGGGGTTCCTCTTTTTTACACAAAAGATTAAATAGTCAGATTTTCTGATGCATTATTTTGACGGTTCTGGATCAATAAACAAACAAAACAAATTTTGTAATCTTCCAATGGCTTTCAATAATGTGATAGAACATCACATGTAAGAGTCATACAAAATGAATGTAACTGACCTCAAATTCTAAACTAGTATCCTGGTTGATAGGGCACATATTTAAGTACTTAGGGTGTTAAACTAAAGATCTTACTCATGTCTAAGCCATTGTTGGTGTTATTCCCAGAATCCGTTTTATAAATTGTAAACTGTCCATAAGCATGGCACCAGTTTGTTCTACAGATGTTGTGCATTTCAACCCTCCGTTTCAACACTGGCGTTAAAAACACTGGTGCATTTTTGATGTTCCTACCAAGAGGTTGCAACAGAAAAGCCATTCTTCTCAATGCATTGTGGGAAAGTGGTTGACAAATTCTGTTTGCTGGCTATGTGTGGGGAATTCGAATCATTCCTGACGTTTGTCAGGGAAGAATATTCGTCAGTGTATTTTAAGTAGCAGTTGCAATGAATCTTTTGCATGAGATGCTCCAATCTATCAAAAGTTTCCCCAAGTTGTCAACTAGCATACTCTCAACTGCAAATCAACTGCAAGGCGGCCATAGTTTTGTCGACTGTAAACTGGAAAAATGGTCTCTGTGGCAGCCTCTTGGTGGTGCACTGTATTGTGAATCACCACTACTGTAGAAAATGGAACAGCGCTGAGTTGGAGGGTCTTAAATTGGGTACTGACTTTGTGACACTGAAGCTTTACGATGAAGCCAAGGATTGGATGGGACATCTTGCAGTTGGTAATCAGCCCTAGGTACTCGCTTAAACACTTGGTGTGCTACTCAGCCTAGCAGCATCACCATTGCATTGAGGAAGAGGCAGCGTCGAGGTCAGGTCACTCAATCCGTGGTGATCCATGTATGCCTGTCAGTTGAAAAAAGGTACAAAATGAACAAAATCAATCTGAATGTTCAAATGTGAAGGTGATTTAATGCCATTATGGACATGTCTACACAGAAATTTCACTGGCGTTCGAGAGGTACATATGTTGTTACCATAGAGCCCTGTTGTTACCATATGAGCCCTGACTCGTGTACAAAGTGATGCCCGCTGGGCGCATCCATGTTTGTGCACTATGGGAAAACTTGAAATTTTGTACGGCTATTTGCATATTTGCATTTGTATTCTAAAAACGATACGTCAACAAAGCCGATAGGCAAACAACCTGAACGCACAATCAGTAAAAGAGCGTTTCATTTGCTCTGCGCCAAAAAGTGCAAACGTGTGCGCTTCATTCATATAATGCGCTTCACATGGATTTTATTGTGACGCTTTATAAATCAGACTATATTATTGGTACTGAACGCTGACTAACTTAATTACGACTTAATTTAGCTGTACTTATTCACTGAAAGACGGCCACCGAAAAACGTGCATACGAAATCAGACGACCTTACTTGAATGTTGGGGAAACCTTGGTCTTCAAATAATCAGCTATCGATGTAAATAAATGTGCCATTGCTCTGTACGTGAGCGCCTTATTCAAAAGACGCGCCGACGTTTGTGTATGTTGTACCTGCGCGTTGTAGTTAGAGTACATTATTTGATATTCGTTCTGATTTCAAAGGTTCAACAAGCACTCACATGGATTTAAAATGTCTGCGCCCAGGACTGCATTAGATTTTCTTCGCATGAAGAATGAGAAGTTAGCTCTGGTTTTTTTCATATACAGCTCTACGGTTGTTACCCACATACACAGTGGGCAGGGCTTCATACATGCAGTCTCTCGGCTCCAACAAGAAATACCTCCTCACTTGCAAAGAAAAGGGTGCTGGGTCAGAAATATCCACCTGGGTTGGAGCATACGTACGGCATGCAGGCAAAGACCGTGCACTTCAACAGAAATGGATCGTAGTTCTCGCGATGATCCGCGCCAAACGCGCATGAACCTGTGTGCGCACGCAGCGGCTTCCCACCGACGTGACAGCGTGACAGCATGCCCGCGCATCAGGTCTTCACAGTGAGCCTCGTCGTCAACGGCAGCAGTATTTGCATGACTCGAGTCACAGGTCGGTAGAACACAGAATCCTACCTTGAGTTGCAGCACGTCATTTGGAGTGCCGGAGTCCGAGACCAGAGCACTTGGTGAGCCAGGATTATTGCTGTAATAGACTCTGATCAAGCTGACTGCGTCATCATACCTAAGGACGTCAAGAAATGTTGGCCTCCATGAAAGATTTGTCATCCTTGAATTTGAAGATAGTTGTTGGATGTAAATCCAGAAGTAATTGTTGACTTGCTGTAAACCTGATCCCTTTCTTTGGGGGGGTTGCCGCCGCCTTAAACGCAGAAACTTTCTTTCTTGGAATGCTAAAGCTTTAGATAATGAATCATGAATCTGAGTTACTTGTACAACGAGGTGCGCAGGATTGTGCAAAAGTCTTTTGACCCGATTCTGAAATCTGAGTCCTTTTGGAAAACATGTATTTGTATATTCCTTGTGCATGCCCATGTCGTATGTAACCAATTAACACATGCATTTCTTCTTATAAAAGCCAGCAGCCAACACCACAATGGTATTTCAGTGTACTGTACATGGGACTCAGGAAAAAGACTCAACTGCAACAGTGTCAGGTCATTTTAGTAAAAAGCGCACCGAAAAGATGTGGTCACTGAACCCTCAAATGTCCAGCGTGCCAAAGGCTAGCCAGGCACTGTAGCGAAAATCTCTTTGTCTAGATGGTTAAAAAAGGTGACAAGGTAAAAAAATAGTCACACAAACCAAGAACATCAGGGGCCGTCAGGCTGTGATATCTTGTAATTTAAAAAGAGTTGGACTTTTTGAAAATAATCCCATGTCTGGGACAAGTTCATCATTAAACAATACAAGCGTCAACTCGTTAAATTAAACAAATTCTCCTGAAGTTGACAGCCAACATCTGGCCTGAAATGTGACATCAGCTGAGCTTTACTTGAAGCTCTCTAAACAGTGCAACTCTTGCGACAGCTTCGTTCTACATGTACCTTTTAGCCAGCAGGCATTTTCGAAGCAAGCCTTGGATCTGGTCTTCGTTGACCAGGTAGTTGACCAACTCGGGGAAGTGGGGAGTTGTCAGCAGGGCCTCATAGCTCGCTGTCTGCTCGATATAGTGGAATATGCAGTTCTTAATCTTTAGAAAAAAAAGGAAACTATAATCATAAACACCATGATGGGAAACTTATCTGCATTTCCTATTAGAAAAGCTTGGTCAGAATTACAGATTTTTATTCAAAATAAAAATCTCTAGTTCTGACCAAGCTAAAATAATTTAGACATTTTGGGGATGTCAACTTCATGAAAAACCAATTCAGGCCGTGGCAGATGTTTTGGGGTAGGGGATACAAATAAGGTACAGGAGAACTGGTGAAGGAGTTTCATTGATTTGTAACCAAGCTGAACAACTATGGAGCACATTCTTGGAATATGTTGATCAGTAAAGAGGAATCTGGGAAGGGACTAAGAACAAAAGCAATGTTTGGTCAGAATTGATGGAATCAATTTGAAGGTCAGAATCTGGAACTAGACTTCCTGTAGTAACTGACGGTACTTGTAGTTGTCAATTGTCAATTATAGACACCACACCTTGATAATGTGTTCACAGATCAGACAATCAGCAAGTTCACTCGATTACGAAGAACTGTCATGCCAGCTTGGACATGTTCGACGTGTCTGAATCGGTGTACTCAAGTGTACTGATGCTCTTCAATGACCTATTTAGAGCATGTACTGCTGAAATACTGAACTGGCTCATGGGGGGGGGAACAGCATGCAGAGCACAACAAAGCAAGGAGCTTCATTTTTTTTCTTCCAGTGAAAAAATGTGACACCAGCAAATTGTGAGTGATACAGATAGTAAGTTCAAGACAAAAATTGCACTTTTATTGTGACATGCCCGTTTCTGTGAGGGAAGTTTGGAGCTGATTTGATTTCCTCCAAACTGTGCCTACCTTCCCCCAGTTTGGGACAGACTCACCTGTTCAGCTGTGGTCAGGAGCTTCTTCTCCTTCTGCATGGCCGTTATCTCATCCAGGATGGCGATGTATCGCTTCCCACCCAACAGGGCCTGCAGGAAAACAAGTTGGATGCAGTCGTTAAGTTAGATCGATGATGGGGCATTAGTGAGCGGTTCCTGGAAGATGAGTCTTATGGGGGCCCCTTTTCAATAATCTTGTTTTAGTTTGCAGTAGGAGTAAACTGAGCTTGTCGTGTTGATGTACCTTTGATTTTGGCACCATGGGCAATGTAGGGTTGTGTATGATGAGTGAAATGTGTTGAGAGTTACCGCTGACTGACTTAATGCAGAGTCTTTGTCAGGACTTTTACACAAGCCTTGGTTTATTGGTGGACGGAAAAGGGGACCACGTAGGACGACATGCGTCACATGCATATGATGCTCAGGACGCATAAAATACGTGCTGTACACTTTCTGAGCATGATGCATGTGATGCACGTCGTTCTGTGTGGTCCCCTTTTCCGTCTACCCATTTTATTAGGTTGGATCACTCTGCTGGTCTTCTTGTCGATATTGCCCAAGTGATGAATGAAACGATGGACAGTGAGTATGATCATGGTACAATGCAGCATCTTTACAGTCCTTCTGAAGCATGGGCTCTGTGCAGTGGAAGGACCACTTCAAATGCAGGAAATGACCTCATAAATTGAGTCTGGCAATAGTCTTTTGCATGTTATCCTCACTTTGATTGTTGATCCAGTTGGTACATAGATCTACCGATTGTTTTGGTCACATATGTAGCATCGTTTTGAAGGACTCTACCTAAACTAAAAGAGATCATAAGTATTGATTTTTGAGGGGGGAAAACTAGAGAAACCTGAGGAAAAACCCTCATGGCACAGGAGAGAACTAACCAACAAGTCTACTTACAAATGGCTCAGGCTAGGAATAGAATCCAGAACTACGGTGGTGAGAGGCAAGTGCTTTACTACCTAGCGCTACCTATGCCACCCATTCAATATCAGTAGCAATGAGATTTTTGTCCTGGTCTGAAGGCAACCTGTTAACATTTTTACCTCAATCTGTTTATCTCTCTTTGGCTTATCGTTAATGTACATCAGACAACCCATGGCGAATGCGTACATCTCCACCTTAACAAACTGCCTGCATGGCTCCATCATGTCCAAGTCGTGAACGATGGGACATCTAGAAAGAGATAGAATATAGAATGATGTCATAAAATTTCAGGCCCCCAAATGATCAATCCATCATCTCAATTGGATCAATGTCTATGCCTTTAAGCAGAGTAGTGTACAGGCCCAGCTGGGCATACAGAAACAGGCTACAAGTTGCTGACAGACTGCGCACAAGGCAAGCTTTGTGACGGTGAAGCTGGAACTCAAAATTGATTCTAAATAAAGAATTCTGGTCCTTTTTATGTTATGGAAATCTACTGCATAATATTCACGTCAAAAAAGGTGGACTTTGGTTGTTGCACCTTTTGGCCTGGTGCCCAAGTACATTCGGACCCACTAAAACATAACTTCACGTTCAGTGTGAAACACAGTTGTGTCACTTTACTGTTTGTTACACCCGTGCAACCTTCACACTCACCAATACAAATGCAAGCTTTTTTAGACAGGTGCTAGTGCATGAAAACACTTGAGAAGTAACATTGACAACATGCCTTGTTCACATTTGTGCTTTCTTATGGCAATCAGGTAAAGAACACTCTCATACATCCCAACTCGACTCCCAATTAAAATACACTTTTAAAGAAAGTGTGATGTCTTCAGGGTATTTGCCATTTTTCCAACACTGAATTTTATTCAACTGAATCGGGGGAAAAAACCCAAATGAAGAGACACTGTGTGAAACAGACCCACTGACCTTTGCAGTAACACTGCTGTCTGTCTGCACGCTTCCTCCTGCTCCTCGGTCAAAGGCGGGCACACTGGGGGAAATTCAAGGGGATATATTGAAATTATCCATTTTGCATGATATTCTACACTTTGGAAAAGCATCGCTACCATTTGATTATCTAGCAGAGAGTGATGAAATTACACACTACTCATAGATTGTATTCCTCAAAATTCTTTTGCAAGGAAAGGGCATTTAACCACTTGCAGAGAGTAATATTTTGGTAAAAGCCACACTTCAAAACAAATAAAAGCATTTTTAAGATGTATTTTTTTTTTGCGTTGGGGAGATGTTAATTATATAACGGCTTTGCCCTTTACCCAACGTATATTAA